TTAATCTGCTCTATTAATATCTATATATTATCTTGTAAGGTGGTTGAGATATACGCGTGTAGAGGTGCGCAAAGTTGGTGGGGTGCGTCACTCGCTTGTACGCGTCACTCGCTTGTAAAACATGTTACACGTCTTGCGCATGGCCCTGAACGAAACCTTGAGACCAAGCTCGAATTGCTAGGTGGCTTTGTTCATGCAGTGTCGTACTGATAATCGCCTGTACCCATCACGTTGATACCATCTCATCTACAGACGCTTTTGCTCTATGTAGTGATCAAGGACTGACATCAGTCAATACATGCCACTAAAGTTCAATGACTACGTCTTTTTTTTTTTACCGACACACCAAGGCTCGACTGTTCATTGTATAAAAGCTCTGTCTGGAGTCCGTGACTGAAGTCATGCAGCCGCGTTGCAGGAGAAAGTCGTTAGGGACGCTGAAGATGCTGCCATGCCAGTTTTGCGTGAGTGAAAACACCCCGTGGACGCGGAGAAAACAACGCGTGTTGACTCTTAACGCCGACCGCCGATGGTAGTCAAACAAACAAACATCAACACGACAACATGCACACATAGCATTAACGTAGCGCATTACGGCCAAGTCTACCCGCAAACATTGCTCCCACATGCATTAGACGATATACTTATCTCGATGTCGACCGACGACACGCTGCCATGGACGACTTCCAGGTGCAATCGCCTGTTGCGACCGCTTTCTTCCAAACTCACGAAGCTGCGCAAAGAGCTTGAGCGACCACGCACCGCAAGCGCCGAGACACGCAACGTATCCTCTGCTTTTGCGATCAAAGGCTCGCCCCAAAAGACAACCAACTTCACCCGACCAGCAAACAAGCCACGAGGCTTCGAGAAGGCTAGAGATCCGGACTGGAGACCTGGCGCGAGGCCAGGCACAGGCAAGAAGACAACATACGGAGGCCGAGGTCGTGGAAGGGTGCCGGATCTGCAGAAGAGTGGCTCCCACAATGGCAATGCCAATACTTCGCGACCAGGCGAGATCGCCTTCACGCCTCTGATCTCAAGGATGGGGGGGCAGCTGCATAGTAGCCCACAAATGCCAATCTCGCCATTGCGCAGGTACTCAAAGGTCAAGGGCCCTCTTCTGGCTCCCTTAAAATCGCCTGCGACACATGTGTCGGACGAGATCCGCAAACTTGTACAAGGACTATCCGAAGCCTACGCAAACATTCTACAATCAACTACAACGGGTGGTGAAGCCAGGTGGAAGGGCACAAGGTCGCTCATGGGCGCTTGTTTGAGGAAGCTGCCAGCATACATTGAGCTTGAGGAGCACTTTGCGAAGCTAGACCGGCTCGAGGAAGACGGTGAAGAGGAAGATCGGGACATCGTGAACGAGATATACGAACATCTGGAAACGCGATTCGAACAAGAGCATGGTCAAGGCTGGCGTCCTTTCAAGTGCGTTGTCCGAGCGCATGCCACGACATTAATATGCGACGCCATCATGGATAAGGTGTTCGGCCTAGACAATGTGTTGGTCCTTGTAACGCATTGTTTGAACTCTTCTTCGTGGGATGAAGCTGAGAGGTTATTATTAGCCTATGCTCCTCTTGTTGACTCCGTACCAATACCCATCAACACACGAGCAGACCTATTCGATCCTCAAAGATCATCCTATCTTCATTCAGTGGGGAACTTTGTTCGCCACACAGGACGTTATCGCTTGCTCTATGATCTCCTAGATCATATGGTTGCCCTCGAACTTCTGCCTCTCGAGTGGCTTGCGACCGACTCTGTGCGCCCGGTATGGGATCGACTTGTTCGAACGATAACCGAGAACGATCATCGGACGCTCCGGAGTGCTCACCAGTTCTTCGAGACGGTTACAATCGCAAGCATGGGGCTACCGGACGCGCGGCTGTTAGAAGATGAAGTGTCTGGCTTCATATCACGGCGATTCGTACCATCGTCTCGAAAGGAGCTTCGACAGGCGCTTGAAACTACCTTCTCAAGTCTGCTCACGGTGCTGTGTAGTATTGCCTTGGCCAACATCAATCGTGACGACCTTGCAGGCCAAGAAATCACCCAGCGAATTGTGTGGGTGCTAGATACGGTTGTCATCACAATATCTACCCGTGGAAATATTCAGGATGAGCTTAGGCTCCTCGGCGCAGACGTAGATGATGTCCAGATTATGGCGCAGCGAGCTATCTGGATACACTTCGCGTCGTTTTTAATACATCTGGAAGGTTGTGTGTGCTCAAAAATATCACCGCTCGATTGCTCCACATCCATCGAATTGGTCGACTGGATAGCGGACCAGTATTCGTCGAGCAACATCAACCTTGCGTTGACATTTGCAACTCTCCCATCTTTATTCTCTTCCATCGCACGCGGCACAGGGCGCATCTGGAAGGACGATGGCTTTGACCAGCTACAACGACTCGTCACAGCACTGATGACTACCTCTGCTCGCAGACTACCTCATAAACTATGGACGCTGAAGCGACTAGCATTAGAATCGGCTAGGGAATTTGCCCAAGGCACTGGTGACGGCGAGCATATGACCTACGTATGTAATATCGAGAAAACAATGCAGACACGAGGTCGCCTTGTCATCATGCACTCTCCACAGAAGAACGAATCACCCACTACTAGTGGTGGCTTCAGGTGGGAGGAGGGTATTGGCGAGTGGGTTACTTGCACACCATTTGTCGAGCAGAACATAAGCTACTCAGCAAGAAAGCCAATCCGAACGTTGGAACTTTTACCAACTCCCATGCAGTCGGAAGATGATACGACAGAAGCTCCTGATGTTGAAGATCATCTTCCAGGTGGCACACCGGACACACCAATATACGAGATGACGTCCTTGGAATATTACGGCGACCAAGTCCTACAGTCATCGCCTATTAAGAAGAGACCACGGACTTCCGCATCTTCGCTTGGAAAACGCATTCGCGCACCATCACCAAAGGTCGTCATACCTATGAAACGGACAAATGTAACACCCCCGGATACCCCGCCTTTCAGGTACTACTCTAAACTCCCTAATGAGGAGCAAGATAGTCCGAGACGATCTCGGCGCCCGCGAAAGGAGTTAAAGGCACTGCCTCCTCGAAGATGTTCAGAACGTTTTCGACCCTCACTCCAAAGCGGATTACATGATTTGAAGAGACCCATTTACGTTGAACCGGCGCTTGAGGTCAGTCATAGCGACGCTGAGGTCCAGAGCATCTCGCAGGACGATTCGGACTACTCACTAGTGTCAGTGGAGGAGGTTCACCCTAAGATTTTCCAAACTAAAGCTCTCCCATCACAACGCGCTTGTACACGTGGCTCCCACCCCATCACTTCTACTGTTAACAACGACGATAATACATCCGAACGCGATGAGCTTGGTAGATCGCCAGCTCACCCTCGCTCTCGAATGCGGAAGCGAACGAGCGCCCGCCAGGGTATTCAACCACGCAGGCAGATGTGTAAGGCAGGCCAAGGCATGATGGCTGATGTCAACGACGACAGTGAAGACGAGTTGAGTTTCTGTTAGGTATGGAATTCTCTTTTGCCTACTGTTTCCGACGCGTGCGTGCGCTCAGATGGCGTATTCTAGGGTTTTCTTGTGTTCGGTCAGTGTTGTATTATCTCGTGCGTTTTGTATTGATACCCCATACTTTTATATTTCGTGATCAATTTAGTTTGAATAAAGTGTACGCCCCTCATCCCTTCTTCATGTACATGTTGTTGGGGCAGTTTACCTACCGAACTGGCTCAACTGATGCATATACACAGTGGTCCCTATAAGTAAGAGCTGTTTTTTTTTTTGAGAAGCGAAAGCCTCAATACAATGCGGACACGACGAGTTTGCCTACCATCGAATAGGAACGACCTGTAGTTCGACAAGCGGGAGTAGGTGCTTGGGACAGGAGCGAACCCGCCAAAAACTGAAAGATAATTCTCATGCCGCCAAAACGATTCGAGGGGCCCGTTAGGGGGGTTTTGGCAAAACTCTACAGCAGTGCTACATAAACAAGCTCTTCCAGCGATATAACCTGTGGCCGCTTACGATTGAAGCCCTAGGCCGCCATCATTCAGATATAGAACGGAGTGACCCTTTTCACTGCCGAGTTCCTATTTTCCAGAGTGGTAGAAATATACAAGGAGAATTTGTAAATATCGAGGACGCATAGGAAATAGACAACAGCGTGAACCAGAGAGAGACAGCTCAGCTGGTCAGAGAAATTAGACAACAATCTTGCACGGGAGTCTTGAGAAAAACGAGAACACAGCAAACCTTGGCTTAAGTTCATGGTACATTTACACCCATCAGGGCGGCGTGTCGAGGGACATTAGGATATTAATGAAACAACAATCTTCTCCTCTTGCACTCTGTACATGGCGTAGCCCTTGCGACAAGTCTACTCTACACAGTGGAATAGAGCATTAGTGTAAAGCAAAGTGCTTATATGCTCAGAAATACAGAGCGATAAACAAAATCTTCTAGAACGTTCATATTCAGCGAATCAAAGACAAGCTCATCATCAACTAATGCATATCATAATACTTAATAACGTTGTTAGAACAGAAGGACGCAGGTCCCATGGTACCAAACAACCTCATCGACACTGTCATCAAACTCTCTTCTTTTTTTCGCCTAATGTGTTCATCTACGGAAAACAGCAAGATGCACGAAGAGCATTGTGATCTATCAGCTTCCTTGCTTTCACTTGGTCACACCACATTGCTTTGTTTTTCCACACGCTCGAAGCCAATCAGAAATGTGGGGCGCATGGGTGCTACATAACCTTCTCAAACCCTCTCCTCTTGGCAATTTATGTTACCCATATATAATAAAGGAAAAAGCAGAAAGGACGCCGCATAACGCGGTGAGAGACAGATTGTGAGGGGATGGTTGGGTGCACACAGAGTAAGGACGTATGACTAAGATCGATAGTCAAGGAAAAGGCTTGGAAAGCAGATGATATTGCGAATGTAACTTTCGTTTTATTGTTGTAACATCCTTGCCACTATGCATTAGTATCGTAGTTTGTCATGTAAGTATCACTGTACGTATAAGCGCATACGTTCTGGATAAATCCTGCCGAAGCCATGTATTTTTTATTGTTTACTCAAATCTGCATCCTGTAATCCAGACCATATTTTGTTCTTCGTCAACGACAGTGTGATACTCAATACCGTTATGGTTACTGTGTCGCACTTCAGTGTGAAATTGTCAAGCGTTAAGGACAGGCGTCAGATCGAAGGCCGTCGTGGCGCGTAGTAAGAACTATTGTCGAGAGGATGGATTTCTGTACAACATTTATTAGCAACGAAGTTCAATGTGATATTTGCGGGGGATGCGCCACGACGGGTCGTGTGAGATAAAGGCAAAGGAACATACAGTTGCAGTTGCAAGCTCCCGGTGCGCAGCCGCAGTCGGCGCAAGTGCATCCAGAGTTTCCGCAGCCGCCCTTCATTTTGATGTGTATTGGGAGAGGTTGAAAGTTTGGGTTGATAATTGAAAGAGTGGTGTCGTTCTGTTGCTTTGATCGTTTGCTGTAGAGAGAATCAGTCGGAGGGGTAGAAGCGGGGCAGGCCTTTTATATCTCAGGCTTCGGTGACATACCACTTCCGGAACTAAAGATGCGACACCGATAGCCGCACTTATCAATGGACCCTACGCTATGACACGGGCTCTTTTCCAAGTTTGCTATTAGGCGGGTCATCGGCGAATCATGGGTAGGAAAGTGATGTATGTAGTGGCTGTGGTGGCGAATCGAGCGGCTGGATGAGGGGTTGGCGCAAGCATGTAACCTGATTTGAGCAAGTTACGTGGGAGCTAGTGTGTCAGCTTGTCGGGTGGGGCGTAGACGGTGCATGTGCCACCGGAATGTAGATAACACTGTAGATACCCTGGAATATACGAATGCGACGTCATTTCGTTATCATGTCCTGTGTACTTTCTCTTGTTTGCCAGCGAAGTCGTCGAATTGTGGCTTTACATGTGGCGACGATATGGCATGATGGAATAGCCGTATTCTGAGCATCCAATGTAAGTGGCCAGACATATTGAAATACCGAATCTGTTGCGCAGCCTTCAAGGCTGTTCATGCGCCTAGGGCACTCAGCTTCGATGCGTGGGGTACGTTCAAATCACGCCTCTTTTTCCCATGTTGGCAAGATCGATCACCTCCTCTTCCACCTCATTCTCTACCGTGTGCTTCCCTTTCGCATTCTTGCCGCCCTTAGCCCCGCTTTTGTTATTCACATTCCCTCTCTTTCCATCCTTGATGCTACCCTCATCATCGTCATCGTCTCCAAACAGAAAGCCTTTGCCCTTCATGCGTCTCTTCTCATCAGATGAGAAGGTTGAGTGCGCGGCACCGGAGGCGAAGTTTGAGGATGCCGAGTCTTCACCAAGCATCCAGGAAAAATTTGAGGATGTAAGATGCGGCCGTGACGGGGGAGAAAGAGTCGAAGCGAGCTTTGACGGGGGAGATAATGTGCGGGCCGGCGGTGATGTGGGGCGGGAGCTCAGCGGGGTAGGGTTCCTAGAGTTGGCTCTTAATGGAGTGGTCGACTGAGATGTCGTGCTCAAAGAGAGAGGTGGAACACTGGAGGCTTGCCCCGACGACATCGGAGATTGAGGAGTCGGAGAAGCCAAGCTGATTGCGGCTTGTGCAGTTGAAGCTTGTTCCGTAGCTTCATCGACAGGAAGTGGCAAGGAAGAGTCATCAAGATAGACTTGAACGAACTGCACTTTCGCGATCGCAAGGCTAAGGGCTTCCATTGCTTCTTTCCCCTTTTCATCATTTTCTTTTGCTTTTTGTGCCTCATCACGCTCCCTGTGATACTCCCACAAATCTCCGACGGCAACTTCTAACATCTTAGCTAGGCTCTTGTTCCTGCGATCCAGCTCTTCCATCTTCTTGAAAGTGTTGGCTGAATGTACCCTTTCAAGGGTTGGTCGCCCGCTGGCAGCGGCTGTACTCGGTTGACCGGGCTTTCGGAACTCTCTCCCTCCCGAGCGTGGTGTCGACTGGCCGGAGTTTGTCGCTGACTGGTAAGCTTCGACGTTCTTCCTCACTTCACCTACTGCATCCCGTAAGGCTTTCCCTACACCCCACTGCGAACCACGATCTAGCACATTTTTGGCAGCACCTTGTATCAAGGCCTCGAAACCAGCGCCCTGTTGGGTCACAAAACTCCTTGGTGACCCGATGCTTTGGCGCGTTCGATTGGAAATGAATGAAGGCGATGGCGACGGTTCGCGGGCGTTGAATTTTGGCTCGGGCTCAATGATAGGTGCTTGCTTGCCATATCGCGTGATGATTTCTGCGCCACCAGGTGGAGTAAGGTGATCGCGAAGGTACAACGCGTCCTTTATGAACGTATATGGGGGTGTAGCTGGTTCGGGATATCTCAGTAGAAGTGCAAATGCTTCATTTGTGTCAGCTGCCATCAGCTCCCATCGTATGCGCAACAGCATAGCTATTGAAATCATGTCAACGAGCTCTAGCGTAGAGTCTATAGCAAAGAGTGCGTCCCACATGTCGAAGACAGCATCGAGTGAGAACTCTCGTCCGAACAGAAGGCGTATCCAGCGTCTATTTCATGTTAGACTAGTCAAGCACAGATGCATGTGGTAGCTTACAGAAGGAATATTTGAGGCACGATCTCCAGCTTTACGAGGTGGGTATGCAGTTCTGGGTCTACCTTTGGTAAATTGCCTTCAAATATCCTAGAGCTTCGTGCAAGCATTGGTGTATCCTTGGTTGTAGATCCAGTTTCAGCCGGCGCGTAGAATGATTTTGCTGTTTGCATGATGATGGAGAAGAGCATGTGCGTATCATGCTCAATGTACTCCGAGTCCAACATCTCAGCGAGACTGTGATCCATTGCGGCAGTGTTCCCATCGGTCGCGTCTATCGCATCTCTTTCCACAACCCACAGCAAAGGCGCGAGTATCTCGTGCATGCCTTGGCGATATCCTATATCAGGATGCATTTTGCACCAAACAAACAGTATATCCAGCATCATGTTCTGAGTGGCAGGCTGGCGGAAATACACATTGTCCGGCATGCATCGCTCAATATCTTGGAATATCTCGGCACGGAGTTCTTCGTCGGCACGGAGGGCTACCCATGGTGACTTTTAACACTTAGTACTTGTCAATAAGCGATATGTCTGATGGCGGCGTCGGCCTGTCGCAGGTGTACACACCTCTGATAGTTCGCTCAATGGGTCGACCGAGGACTCGAATTCGTCTGGGTTTCGTATGGCACGGAGGTAGTGTGATCGCAGAGAGTTATACGTCTTGCGCGCATGGCTGAGGTGGGTAGGCCACGACGAGCGATCAAGCGTTTTGAAAACGAGGAAGATCTAATCTTGCCATGAGCGTTGAAGGGAGAGGAAAGGCGCAGTGAACGGTACCTTCCAACAAACGGACCGGAGTCCTGCGGTGATCTGGGGTTCCTTGTGCGCAGAGACGTGAATCTTGAGGTCGGTCAGGGAGTGGAAGTCATCGAGCTGCCGCCAGTGCTTTCTGTGCAAGGTTAGAATTGGAATCACATAGACGTACAATGATAGCTCACTCAGCTTCGGATACGGAGCGCATAGTGGAATATTGCAGAGAGCAGTGTGAGTACTGTGTCGGCAACGTCCAAGCACCCTGTTGGTAGCTCTGCGCTGTGATGCAATAGCACGCTGCGGGGCAATTCGAGCCGACCGAGACGTCACGTGGTACATGGGACGCTCGAGCTCACCCTAGTTATCACGGAACGCTTGGAAGATACGCATGGTAGTGCATCCGACGTGTTTGCTAGGATGCCGCTTGTAAACGCGTTGTTGAGTCAGGGTCAGGGTCCGTTGTCTGTGTTGCATCTGGTTGCTAGAGGGAACGATAATAGATCACGACGTCACGTAACTGCATGACACGAATACGATCGAGGCACAGTACTGTGTAGCATCGGACGATGGTGTCTAGCATATCTGATAGCCTAGTGCGTAGTGACTTTCTAATTCCATCTCCACACTACGCTCGCTAAGAACGGGAACAGAAGGATTAACTTCACGATGCAGAATCTTAGGCTGAATGCCAATGGCGACCCTCGGAAAGTCGCATGCGCGTGCGGGTGCGAGTGCGAGTAATGGAACGAGCTCGAGTCTATTGAACCAAACTTGCCTCAACTGCCCACTTGTCGGACTGAAGATGACAAAGTCGAGGGAGACGTTGCATAGTGACGAAACTAACCCACAGTGATCGACGATGTCTCAACTTTACCAAGCCACGTGCGAGTAGACTTCGATGGTGTTGGGAATTAGTCTTTCTTCACTGGGACTGCGTTGCGCTGGCCCTCTATGACGAGCCTGTCCATGAGACCCGGGGCTAGAATGTCCTGCCGGAAACGCTCCTGCTGCAGCCATTCTAGCGCACGCAGCGTGGGGCCAGGGTGACTGAAGCGACACGATCAGTAAGCAGGCGGTGAGATGGGCGGTGGACGTACTGGAGGAATCTGATGTACTTTGGGTCTTTGAAGTACTGCAGGTAGCCGAGGTAGGCGACGAATTCGGGCTTGTCGAGCATTTTCTGCTGGGCCAGGTAGTTGAGATAGACGGGATTGGCAAGGCACTGGACAAACTAGGCGTGTGTTAATGAAGGTCAAACAGGGGCTAATGACGACGCAGTATAGGGGAATTGCGGACCTCGAGCTCGAGCTCAAAGCGCGAGTAGCCTCCCACGCCCGGGGCATCTTGGGTCGTCTCGTGAGCCATGGCTGGCGAGTTTGACAGCTGACGGTGGATAGTCGGTATGGGAGCGGCGCTTGCAGGTCACACTGAGGCTGAAGAAAAGCAGTTCAGGGTCTTCCCCGCAATTCCCAGGTTGCGCAGAGTCGGCAGCTAATCCAGTTGGGTATGTGAGGCGGGCTAAGGATCGCGCACTTGCACAAACGGGTGCAAGGACAGCAGGGTTGAGGAGCTTGTGTAGAGGAATCGAGTCAAGTCTGCGGTCGTGTCAAACGACAGGTTATGTTTCGGGAGTGGTTGAGGGGGTTTCAATGGGCGCGCACCGTAGCTGGGCAGGCAGAGCAGCACTAGACGCGATCAAAAGCCATCGCAGAGGCTGCGATTCAGCCAAACAGAAAGTGCATATCCAGAGGTTTGTTGTCCCATGCGTTGCCATGCAGCAGTGCACTGAGTGCAGCTCGGGCCCCGACCCCACAGGCACAGCGGATTAGCACCCTGATTTACCGTCTAGACAGTCTTTTCCGGCCAAAGTGGCTGCGGTTTAGGAAGCTCGTGATCGGGCGCTCGAATCACAGCCGGACGGTGCCACGGAACCACGCACCCACGGTCGGTGTCTTGCGGTAAACACGAGGCCCAGCTAAGCTCTGCCTCTAATCCCGCCTCTAAAAGCCCCAACTAGGCCGCTCTTGCCCTCGACGGTCTATAGCTCAGGCACTCCTACTACCACCTCCTGCCTCCTCCTGACTCTGCCACTTGATCCTCTGCCATCTGCACCACCTGCTTTTTTGCTTTCCTTCTCCCTCACCACCTCGCCATCACCACCACCACCACCTTCACCACCACCTTCACCACCACCACTACCCGCGCATTGCTGTCTTGTATTCACTAGGCGTTGCATAGACTACTAACGGGCCTCAAACACGAGCCATCAAACACGCGCCCCGCCCGCCTGTCGTCTGCCCGCCAACAGGGCCCGTCTATCCTCAGCACGAAACACAGCAGAGCATCGGTACCACCGCCAGTCTTGGGAAAATCTGCTGCCGCCCCTTTTGCTGCTTCTGCTCTACGCGAGGTGCGCCGGAACAGGATTGTCCCCAGTGCGTCACCAGCCAACAATTGCACAAAGCACGCCTGTCGTCTCCCGCGGCGCCAGTGTTTGATTGGGCCGCCCAGCAGGGTTGTGAGTAGCGGACGGCATCATGTTTGCAGAGCCGTCAATGCCAGGTAAGGCTCCTGAAATGGCCTGTTTCACCGAAACCGCTGCCTGTGACGAAATCGGACGCGCTGCTGATCATATTGCTTATCTACAGAGAGGCGACCCTCGCCAGGCCTGCAGCTCAACCTCTCCTCCAACAACCCCTTCCGCAGAGCTGCTTCACCCGCCTTCCCCTCGCCCGCCAGTGCCAACCGCTCGAGCTCGGGCAGCAGACCAATGTCGCGCAATCCCTTTATATCTACCTTCGAGGCCGAATTTAACAAGGAGGCATCCCGAGACCTCGTTGACATGTCTGCCACCATGAAGGAATCTCCCAAGAAATCAACCTTTGGCTTTGCCGCCGAAGAGCTCTTTGTATGTTCACCTCCCCTTGCACCCCAATTGCCTGTGACGCGACGGGTACCGACATCGTCACGTCGTACAAGCCACATCATTCCTCCGCTGTATTAAATACGGTACAATCCCTAGCCGCCATTGAGCCACCAAACATGGACCGCTTCAGGCGCTTCGTGATGCAGTTTGCTGACTACCCTGCTCTTACTCAGGCCAACCTCACCATCGATGACAGCGACAAGAAGCGAGCTCCCCCACCACGCCCGGCTCCTGCCCGGAGCGGCACAGATCCCCGTGCAGGCCACCGCCCATCTCGCTCCGAAGAGGAGAGGCGCGCCGAGCGCATGCGTGAAGCTTCTCGTGGCGGCTCTCGACCACGCGGCCCTCCTGGTTCTTCGCGTCCTCCCCACCTGAGCAGTCCCGAACGTCGTGAGAACCGCCGTCCTCGACGCAACTCTGAATCCTCCATCATCGACCGAGGCTCGTTGGATCCGCGTGAGGAGCGCAGGCGCAGGGAGCGTCGCAAAGAGCGCGAAGAGCGTGCCAAAGATGGTAAAGATAAGAACGGAAAGCGTGTCCGCAGGCCACAAGGTCTTGATCTCATCGACAAACTCGATGTGACTGGCATCTACGGACCTAGCATGATCCACCACGATGGACCATACGATGCTGTGCAGCCCCACCGGAACCGTAAGAAGGACCAGCGCGCACCTATGCATGCCTTCCCTGTCGGTTCGGCCAACAATACTCTAGGTGGCTCCGGACCGCTTAACACCAAGATTGATCTAGACAGGATCCATGGAAGAGGTGCTGAGGGCTTCACCGACTTTGCCGGTGCCGAAACCGAGTGGAAGAAGCCTGCTCCAGTGGCTGCAGAGTTCAGTGCAAAGGGCCGAGAAGACATTGTGCACGGCGAGCAGACCCACGGTCTTGGAACATCCACTTTTCTCGAGGGTGCCCCGGCATCCCGTAAAGCGATCCAGGAGGAGTCTGACGCTCAGCGACAGAAGCAGCTGGCTGAAGGTGGTTTGGGCCGCAAGAAATCCATTGCCCAGCGATTCCGCGGCATCTCTCAGCCCCGACGTTATGGTGATGGTCCTCGCATCACCTCGCCCGAGGCACGTTACGGATCTGCCACCAGTCCAAGTGGTCCTTACAGCGCTGGAGCCATCTCGCAAACCAAAGCAACAGAGCAGAACCCATTTTTCAGCGACGACTACGACAAGGCCTATGATGCCAAGGGTGCAGCTATCAAGACCAACGAGGGCGGACCTTCGCCACCTCGAGGCGCTGCGCTGCAACGATCCATTACCACAGATAGTATAGGATCTCCCACTGGTGAGGGCAAGCCCAGTGGTGGATTCCTTAACCGGGTCAAGTCTCTGAAAGGTGGACGCCGACGCCCTGCTTGAGAATACATAGGCAGGGTTGGATCGACTTGACCACTTTCTCCATCATCTCAGAACTACCTCGAAACACAAAAAGACACGACGTGCATAGCGCCATAGCGATGACGGCTGACAGCGCCTATTTCTCCTATTGTCAAACACATCCTTTCGGGACATACACTTTCCTTTCGTCTGGCGTTGGGGCAGTTTGGACTTGAAAGCACGAGGTCTGGATACCACTCATGTGTAACAGAAATCATGGCGCTCCAAAATGCTTGACAAAGGGCTTTTTCTTCAATCACCGATCTCCAACTCTTCAGTCGAATCACTTTTCTTTTAATGCGAAGAAATTGGGCTACTTTGTGTAGCTTCTACAAACAAGTTTGCGACACTTTTGGGGGATGCAAGGCGTGAAAAATCCGTAGCTTGAATCGAAATTTACAAAGACCAAACCGTTGCGCCCTACCGTATCTGCTATCTTAGTAGACGTTGCTTCAGAAGCAAATCAGACATGCACGTATGAGACCGTTGATTTGCCCCCTTGATCGCCATCTAGACCTGCTCGATGTTCAGGGGCAGGAGATGTCCCACCAGGATCGACCTTGACGCGTTTCTGTCGCCCAAACCCCCCACTCAACCCACTGCCCAATCTTCGATGCGCGGACCTGGATGCCGCCGCTGCCCCTGGCACATGACTTACATCGCCGACATGTTTCTCAGCCGCATCCGACTAGCACTAAGATCGACAGCGGACTTTTGGGACCGCAAGCCACCATCGTATCCCCCCAGCATGATCTTCGGTGCCACAACTCTGAGGGATGTGTATGGTCTTGGCTAGGGCGTCAGTTGCTCGTCAGGATTGATCGGAAGCTAGTGGATGCCTTGATGTTGGGTTGAGCAGATGATGGATATGGTGTGGGCTCGGTAATTTGTACTATGAAGATTTGAGCGAGCGAAATTGCGGAGTTTACATAGGAACATAGACACGTCCCTACTTTGCTAACTGTTAAATTCAATGTACGCGGTGCGTATATGTCGGTGACCCTGGGATGGAAGCGAGACAAAATCCCAAGTATAGGAGAATGTCTCCGAATCTCAACACGTAAGACTTGTCGTCACGTAACGTCTCTCATAGATCGTGCGCTTGTTGAATTTAGTCATACCGTACGAAGTTCGAGTGTAACTTACACGAGTTGCCTAGATGGCGCGCGCCTTCTTGTTCCATCTTGCGCTAGCACTTTCCTTTCCGAACTCGGTTCCGATTGGCCTCAGAGTCAACTCACAACCATGCGGCTAGCAGCAGCAACATGGCCGCCGTTGATATCACCTCAAATAAGTTGAGTGGAAGCGCAAGACCTGCAGAGCCGCTACTCGCATCCCACTCGATCGACGACAAAGACCTCGGTGAGCTGCTAGAGAGCTTGTGCAGCGTCAGTATCGAGAAGAAAGAAAAGGACGAGAAGAAACGACTGCGGAGTGGAGTCAAGAGTTTGGATGATGCACTGAGCGGCGGACTACATAGTGGACGGATTGTACGAATCAGCGGAGAAGCTGGAGCGGGTGCGAGCCAGGTGAGTAATATGAATATTACTGTCATCGAAAATCACTTTCCAGAGAGACCGTGAGAATGGAATGTTCGTATTCTAATATTTTTAGATCTGCTGTACCCTACTCATAGACTCTCTTCTTCAATATGAGAACTCGGCGGCTGCCGTTATTGATACAACAGGCAATTTCGATGTAGTCCGATTGTACGCAATGATTGTTGCACGACTGTCTCAACGACCAAGGCCCACGGCTTCACTGCACTCTGCAATCAATCCAGAACCTGGAGCTTCGATCGAGGACCTGTCAGCAAGGATTTTGGACCGCGTTAAGATCATGCGAGTTTTTGATTTTGTTGGTGTGAGAGAGGCCATCGAGGAGCTTAAGGATGATATTGCAGGGCAGAATGTTGCGGAACCCACCCTGGCAAATGAGAAGATGAAAGAAGCGCTACCAGTCGAAAAGGTGAAGATGAAGCGGACATATGTCGCGGACTCCGAGGACGAGGAAGACGACGAGGAGATGTTGTTCGATTCAGAATCTATCGTTACCGCAGCAGCACAACCAGCAAAAGACCAAGAAGGAGCGGAGGCACGACTACTCGAGCCAGTGGGAACGCTAGGAATCACGCACGCGGAAGCAAAGCGAGGCTACATCAAATTCATGCTAGTCGACAGTTTTGCCCATGTCTTCAACCCATTGTTGAAAACCGGTTACATCCGGGGTATTTGGTCACAATCACATTTTCATTAAGAACAGGAATGCTGACTAGCTCCCAGCGAATACCATGGCAGCCTCTTTATTCACCACTCTCACAGACTTAACAAGGTCTCATTCACTCCATACCCTCCTCATAAACCCGGCTCATCCTCCCCGCGCTTCCTCACCGAAACGCTTCGCACCACAGAATCAACTAGGTCCTCTGCCCCAGCAACAACGTTGGAACCCGCCTCTCCCGCCTTCCATCTTCGCGAGCAATGACGCTGTACCTGGTTTGATGGATCTCCTAGGAAGGTATACAGACATGGAGATATTAGTGAGTCGGATACCAAGACGGCCACTGGATGCGAGAGTTCACTACAGTGATACCGAGAGATCAGGACAGAAGAGAGGCGTTGAGATGGTGGGTGTGTTGGAGATAGTGAGCGATCGGTGGGAAGGGAGGAGTGGAGCGTGGGGTACGTTTCGCGAGGGAAAAGATGGAATCGAGATGTTTGAGATGGATTCAATACACAGGAACACAAGTCTAGGGTGTTGATAGTGAGGGTTCGATGGAGAAGTCGTCGTCACCAGTGTTTCTTACCCATCCCTTCAAGGCTTTGCGTATGTCTTCTTTAGCCCTGGTCCTCTCGATGAGCTCTTCAGATCCTTTCATCTCCGCATACTTCCTCTTGCGCAGTGCCCCACTCGTCACCACTGTTCCACATAGTACTCCCGCCAAGCGCAGGCCTTCTAGCCACAATCCCCTTCGGCATATCTTACTTGCTCCTCGAGGGTCTAATTGCTTCCGGCCCTGCATTACGCCGCCAATCAGAGTCTCCTGCCAAGTCGGTGTCCACACCGCAGATATGTTACTAGGCACCGCTTTTTCGGTAGCGGATAGTGCGCGGCGTGACCAAGTGAACTCTCGATCTGTGGGAAGGATGGTGAAGGGCTGGAAGCGGTAGCCGCCTTTCCACTCATTCGAGTCAAGACACCTGAGGCGACCGGACGAAGAGAAGGCGCGTTCACATGCTTGTGGTATATACTGGGAGTCTGGCAGCACCAAGGTTTCCAGGTAAGCGTTCTGGGGACTAACGAATAGAGATGATGTTGATGAGAGCAAGGAGGTGGCTTGTTTCACTGCAAGCTTGTCTGTGCAGGATTTGCTCAGCGTAGGCGGCGCGTCTGGTCGCGAAGGCTTCGCGCGAACGACGCCCAAAAGAGAGAAGTTGGATCGCCCTCGGAGTGCTGAAGCCTCTCCTTCATCACCGGAATGTGGTGTGGAGGAAAGAGTTGGCGGCGTACTGGTCCACGGCGTTGCATCTTCTTGCGCAGCCATAGTAAGCTCCATGCTTGCGTCTCCACAGGGTGCTTCAGAGCAGTACATATGAAGGGATACATCTTCTCGGATTGTGAAAGGCTGCTGTAGGTCTCTGGTTTGTTCGTCAGGTGATACTTTTCGAAGAAGGCCGGACGTTGGATAAGGTGGCGTTGATATGAGAGTACATTCGTCCAAGAGGTAACGGTTGAAGGCTCGAATGGCGATGACCTCGGCGTGCCAGTCGTGGAGGATGTTACCGTGTGCGACGGGTAGTTTGTTGGCAGGGAGACATTTCATGCCAGTGCTGGAAAAGGTTCAGTGCATGTCCATAGTCGCTCATCTCGTCTACGAGCAGATTCTATGCAATAGCTAGCTTGTTCAGGGTCAATTGAATCAACCCCATGCGCCCTGTCTGACCTGTATGGCTAATACCTCCCCCGGCGAATTACTGGGCTACACGATGCCCGTTTTTGAGAAAGCACCCTTGGAGGTCGGGTGATGGAAATGGCTCACCCTAAAGATACACATGACAGGCTTTGGCCTTCACTAAGTCATGAGCATAAGCAAGTAAAGCTCCTTCCGGATGCAAGTGAGCGATTACCTTTAGATAAGACGATTCCGGCGAGGGGCACCCATTCCCTCGCGCCATCGTGGCGGGGTCTCGGCTTCCTCTTTTCAGGTAGCTGAGCAAAGGCCCGTAACACGCAGTCTGCGATGGCATTTGCATCTGGGGGCATGGCAGCGAGTGCAAGTTGTGGGTGGAAAAAGTGAGGGCGGAGTTAGGGCTCGGATGATCCGGGGAGCCAGGCAGAGCCAGGGTCCATTGTTACCTTCGCGGTCGCAAAGCATCGCTCCTGCTACTCAATCACAAAGAACCCTGTCACACGCTCAGTACGAGTAAGATCCGGGCTGCCTTCACCTCCACGTACCGCCTTGGTTTTAGTCCTCTCTCCTCAACATGCAAGCGTTTGGTGAGCAATGGCCATGCGCCGCACCGTCGCATTTGCGACTCAAACACTCACGATTGCAGTACCCAAGAACCGACGAGTAAGACAGAGCTAGTACACGGAAGCTGCATGGGCTGACATCTGCGCAGCCAAAGTTTGACCTACACCTAAGAGTGAGCTGCCCGTATCAAGGCGTAGGATGCTATGTTGACGACGCCAGATAATCGACCTGAATAACGTACCACTCGTATCCGGCACATCGTTTATAAAATGGCACCTCTCGCATTCGACAGCCGCCGAGCATCGTGGCCGCACAGCCAACTGCCAGGTCAAGGACCACAAAGTCGCCTACAACTACGACATCACCCTCCCTGTCCGCCTTACTGTTGACAAGAATGGCATGCTACAGGAGTGTTGCATCGAGTTCGAGGTCGTGCAAGAATACGGCAGAGGCTCGGGAAGAGGCGAACGCATCACACTGGGAACCATTAAGCTCAATCTCGCCGAGTACGTTGAGCAGAGCGAGATGGCGACCATGGCGGGTGAGGAGCCAGGCGTTACACGGAGATACCTTATGCAAGACAGCAAGATCAACAGCACGCTCAAGCTCGGGATATACATGAAGCAGACGGAAGGCGACAAGAACTTCATTGCGCCTGCCCTAAAGACGGCGCAAGTTTTTAGTGGAATCGCTGGTATCATGGCAGGAGAGCAGGCCGAGCTTGAGGATCACGGAGGTAAGGCGCACCCGACTCAACCACGAGCTTGTACTCATATGCACAGTTGCGCCCTCATTGACAAGTAAGTCACGCGAAGCCGGCGAACTCCAAGACATGTATCGACGTACGCTCGCCGCATATTGGTCCGCACAACCCGGTGAGCTCAAGGCAGACGAATGCATCGAGGACATTTTTGCAGGAGGAGATGGATGGGGCGATCGCGAGAAACCATACTCTCAGCAGCCGCGAGCCCAGCCCTTGCGGTTCGCAGCGGGTGATAGCAGCAGCTCTGTGAGCGAGAGCGAGCCCAGACACATGCGCGGCAGCAGCAGCTCTCATCGCAAGTCGCATGAGACACTGCGCCCTGGAGACATAAACTCAAGTCACTCACCCAACGTGCGGGGCAGAGGAAGTCTGGAGCAGCAGGCATCGCAGATGAAGGCGGAGGCTGCGCGAAAACGACATCGTCCACACCACGAGGTGGATGAATTTGATTTGCGAGAAGACCTAGTCAGCTGGCATCGTCCAGCCTAAGAAGTCCCAATGTAGCACTGTAGACACAAATCCCAGCACCTAATATCTAACTTTGAGGTGACGCAACGTATTATGACGCGCCTCGCACGTGAAAGCGCGATGGCAGAATTGGGCGGTCACGAAAGTTGATGCACGCATTGCACTTTCCAAACCCGTTACAACCATCACCATTGCACGTCTTGACCACGCCGAACTCCTTCATGCTTGCGCCCCGTACCTCTAGTGCATTTGTATGCCTCCGATGTGAAGCGCAAATTACCCGACGGCGACTTCCTGCCTTTGCCCGTCCACGATCCCACGCCAAGTTTTCTGCATCTACTCGCTGCCACGATGATGCTGAAGAGCTGGCGGTGCCGTCGCAGGCGCAACAACCAAAGCTGAAGATCACAAGAGAAGTGACGCCCTTGAACCGACTAAGGAGAAAGAAGGGGGGTAGAGTCATACGAGAGACAGCAAATTTGGGCGTGAAGCGATTGGGCGACGATGCCGATATTTTGGTTCTGAGGGAAATCGCAGAACTGACACCAGAGAAAGCCGCCGAAAACCCTGAAGAGCCTGAAAAGACCGTATCCTCCGAAGCTCCTGAAATCCCAGACATAGTCGCCTCTCTGCAGGAGGAAGGGAAGGACGTCACGCCGGAAGAGATATACGAGCAGATCGAAACCTTGCGGCCGAAAAATGATAGCGGCCTCGATGAGCCGCATTATGTCAAGCAAACGACCTTTGTCAAGCTTAGGAAAACACTCATGAATGGTTTCACACATCAGCAGTTAATAGCATTCTATTCGGTCGCTAAGAACATACGGAAAGAGAAAGTGAAACAGGGTGTCATAAACAGCATCAAACAGAAGCCAGGATCAGGAGACCAGGATCGGTCGGTAGAGCGCTCTGAGTGGCAGCCTGGTACCACGGATATCACCCAGCGCTTGCCTGGCGTCGATCGTCATGTCAAAATCAAACGTTACCGTAAAAATGTCAGCAAACAGCTGCTCGTTGATCGCATACTGAGGGACGTCTGGAATCTCATGCTCTTGGAAGAGATAGAGTCGTCTGGGGAGCTTGAGCTTTCCCTGCAATCATGGCAGTTGGCGCTCCTGGAGGCTGGCGGTACGTACATTAGCACATGTCATCATGAAATTCGCTGACATGGCTGCAGAAAAGGAAACACTGTTGGACAAGATTCGACGGACCCGGCGAGCAAGACTCGATGTATACAAACAGCACGGCATCCTTCGCATCACAGCAGATAAGACCACAGCCGAGTACGCTGCCGACGACATCGAAGAAGCTCTTCAACGCACGGAGATGAAGGGGATGAACTTGAGCAGCTACCTGCATCAGAGTGCCAACATCGATGTTACATCGAACCCCAAACCAAATTTGGTTTCGTTGTTCTATACACAGAAAGACTTCGATATTGTCTCGATGCTGACTCGTACGAGTATCGAAGCTGTCGGCAAGACCATGGTATGCCCGGGCTTTGTAGAACGTTCTGAACGTAGCTGATTCCTGCAGTTAACGATCAGAGGCTTCGACAAGAACTCTATAGACGAAGCGAAACGAACACTGATCCGCTTCCTGCCTTTCGAAGAGCCAGTTACACGTACTTTTGATACGCAGCCATTGGAAAATGACGATAGCGCAGCATTCTTATTGCCAGTGTTCCCAGAAGACAGTTCTGTAGAGTACAAGTACCGCAGAGGAGATTTAGGACGTCTATCGATGCCTATCGTACGCCTCACGGAACCTGAATATGTTGATTCTGAGGCCGAGAAACTTGCGAAAGCCCCGAAGACAGCATTGCACGCTCTAGTGAATCGCACTACGGCGACCGTACTACGATCTGCCTCTGATGTGTCACTGCCTACACATGAGCTTAACCATTGGATCCCGGAACCGACATATAAGCTCTCTGCTGAATTTGGTCAGGTATTGTTTCCCCTGAAAAATGCAGACTCCAAACGAGTAGTAGAAGCAGCGCTCGCCCAACCATCTCAGTCGCCTTTTCTGCCAACAATCCCTGGCTTAAATAACCTCCTTGCCTCACCCAATCTGACAGCTACTACGCGCTTGCAAACGCCATCTTTACACTACCAATTCAGACCTGATCTCTCGAACGCGTCTGGCCAATTACTCCCCAGTCTCAACGTACAGATGCGTACCGGCCGGAGTGGCGCCAGAGCAACTCTTCACAAAATGACACTCAGCTTCCAGCAACGCGTCCACGATGTTCTGCTCCCTGATAGAGCATCAGATGTACGATTCTATCGCCGTGGAAGTCTGCACTTCAGCGTCAAGGACCACAACGACGAGAACGTACAGGCATGGGTCGATGCTGTAGTAGAGAACATTGAGAGTGGCGGCCGCCTCACCGCTCCACCCCTTCGCATCGAAATTCCCGAGTGGACTATACCCGGAGTTTCGAGTGAGGAAAAGGGGACACGCAATGTCACATACCACTTCTCTGGTGTCCAATTTCGGCAATCTGTCACCGGAAACTTGTTCGGTGAAGATATCTCATATAGCACAGTGCAGTCTGGCAAATTTGGCGCAAAGGGCGGTATACTCACGGCACATTACAACGGCCATGGCGATAGAGAATTGCGCAATGAAGTCACCGTCAAAGCTTTTGTGGAAAACTGTTTGGATATGGTAGACCTGATTACCAATGCCAGCATGCAGACACTGCCTGTGTCTAGACAGCTTCGCCCACGGTATGGGAATAGTGAACGCAAGGCGAAGCGGAGCGACATGTTGGCTAGTGAATCTCAAGCTGCCCACGAAAACGTTCAACTGGCAAATGGTGTTCTTGAGCCTTTTGGGCAGCATCCTCACCATAAGGACGATATTAAGGTGGAAGAGGATATGGAGGCTGATGCAAAGGTAGTAGAGGGTCAGCCTGCAGATGTGAAACAGGAGTCACAATCTGACGACCCACGTGTGGAAAGACAAAACGACACTACCCGCACTTTGTAATGAAATCAAACTCACCTCCTCAAATCAACTTCCTATGACGCTCCTGGTCGTGACTTGATTGACCGACATCTGTCGTACACGGGCTCACAATCAGTATTGCTAGCACGGAAAACAAGATGGT